GTGCTGTGCCCGGACCCTGCCCGGCGCCCGCGCCGGGAGAGGAGTGCAGGCTGAGCCAGGTGTCCGCGTGGGCTGCGGGCAGGTGCAGCGCTGCCCTTGTAAGATACGCTGGCTCTCTGCTCCCCAAAATGGGATTCTTTTTGCCTCTAGTTTCTTCTTGAGGTGCACTTTCTAATGGCATATGGCCGTAGTGTTTGCCTCCTTTATGCTCCTGCATGTAAAGTCAGCTGAAAATGAAAAAGCATGGCCGCCTGTAAAAATGGCCCTGAATAAAGGGGAGTGACCGATTATTCTTGGTGTTACCAGCTCTAAAGCAGCTCGCAAGCACATAGACCAGAAGACAGAAATATAGCTTGGGTGATACTGTGATTTGCCTTTCTTGGAACCTGTCTCAAGTTCCAAAAATAAAGGTTGAGCCTTAAGCCTAAAAAAAAGAACCACAAAATCGTCTAAATTTTACTGTACGTGTGGGAATACAGAGTAAGCTTCTATTAACTGTAAAGGAAAGACTAATTTTTCTGACTATTGAAAACGCTTTGATAAGTAAACCTTGAAGCTTTGTAGAGGATAAAAAACCTTAGAATGGCCTAATAATTCTGGTTTGTATTTTAAGAAGGATACTAAACTCAGTCTTTCATAGTGAAGAGCTTGAACAGATGTCTGTGGTACATTGGTTATGGTAGTTGTAGGCCTTACGCACAGAGCACGTGACTATGGTATGCTCGTGGTTGTGGCTTCTGAATCAGCTAGCAGCAGTAGTTTCTTGAATTTGTAAGTTAAATGTCTTCTTTTCATTTGTAGATATGGCTCGTGGACAGCAGAAGATTCAGTCGCAGCAGAAAAATGCCAAAAAGCAAGCTGAGCAGAAAAAGAAACAAGGACACGATCAGAAGGCTGCAGCCAAAGCTGCCTTGATATATACCTGCACTGTCTGTAGGGTAAGAGGAACTGAAGACAAAAATACTATTGTAGGCAGGTCTATCTTCCAGCCTAGAACAGAATTTTTAGAAGATTATAAAGTAGAACCTAAAATCAGTCACTCCTGAAGTGACTGCCTAGCTTGTTGCTCTAAGCATTTGCATCTGTTCTTTGACTTAGAGATTGCTCAGCTGTGCTGAGAAATGAGCTATGAGGAAATCTGTGACGTTGTGTACAGACCTGTTTTGGGTGGTTACCTTGCCTTTTGAATTGCAGGTGTCTGCATGTGCTGCTAGTATGATGTATAAAATGCAAAAAAAACCAACCAAACAAACAAAAAAAACCCCCAAACTGTGACATCACTTCCTGTTTAATAGCCAAATGGAAACATCTTTTCTTTGTGATGGGGTTGGCCCATTGTAAAATCACTGGTTATCGATGTTAATGTAGAGAGGAAAAGTGGTGATGCCAAAAGCTTTAGTGTGTGATCCACAGTAACTTGAGACTTGAGAAGAGAACAGAAAGGTGAGCGCTGATCAGGTGATACTTTCCTTCTGGCCGGTTTTCCTGAATGTGCTTGTTTTGGAGCTAAAGGATAAACTTGCCATTTCCACATAAATAAATGGTCAGTCCTAGAATACATTAATCACTCTGAATGTCTTAAATAGGATTCCAAATTAAGCTCTGCTCACTTGAATACTTGTAACCAGCCCCTCTTCTTGTGCAATCAGGCTGTAGCAGCCATGGCTTTGGGCTCTTGATGGCTGAAACTGTGCAGCAGCAATGGTCTGAGGCAGCTGATGCCAAGTAGAGAATCAGTCTGTGCCAAGTAATGTTTTGGCCTATTGATAAACAAAAGAAATTGCTTTAATAAACGTTTGATAGAGTGTGAACTAGTGCTTAGAAGCACCTCACTGAAAATCTGAGGTTAAATACTCTCTTAATATGCAGCTAAATTAATGGTGCTTCTGTCACTAGAGAAGTGTCATTGAGGAGACCATTTCCTTCAGGAAAAAGAAAACAAAACATAGTGGGGGGAACAAGTTTTGTAGTATTATTTAATTCTTGTACTGTGCATAAAGCAAAATGTCTCTCTTTAATCAGACACAAATGCCGGATCCCAAGACCTTCAAACAGCACTTTGAAAGCAAGCATCCTAAGACTCCACTTCCTCCAGAACTGGCTGATGTTCAGGCGTAAAGTTGACTACAGGTCACTACCTTACTTTTTGAACGATTGTTAGAGTATTACGAATCGTTTGTTTTTGTTTTTTTTTTACCACCACCAACTGGGACTTAACACTTGCTCCACTTCCTTTAATGTGGAAATTACCTGTAGGTTAAGGTTATACCCCTGAACTGCTACCCAGGAGAAGCGAGGGTGACGCGTGTGTAGGTGAAATGGCACGGAGGCCGTTTTCAGAGGGATTAACGTTATTTCCCGTGGTCATCCTTGGAGTTGTAGGAATACTTTATTTTTTATTTCTTGTTTTGAAATGTGAGTTTTGCTTTGAACAAAATACATACAATAAATACAGTCTGCCTGTTGCTGTGAAACATGATGGAAATAGTTGTTCAGTGTATTTCCAATAACTGAGCCTTTTTGTTCCTGAAGCTATGCAACTGAATGCAGATTTTTCTGCTTTCAAATATAAAACTTAACCTCTGTGTTAACTAAGAGATTTCCCGATAGCCAGTTGTTAGGCTGTAACTGAAAGTGGTTATAATAAAAGGCTGAAATGAGGTTAAAAAAAGCAGTATTCTGGTATTTCATTCACATGAAGGTAAGCAGCATTGTGTAACTGTTCAGCTTAACCAAGTTATTCTTGTTTTTTTTATAGGTGAAATCATGGCACCTATTGACTCTTCTACTGTCAGACCTTACATAACAAACCTGCAGCTGCTTTTCTAAAACTGTTGATCAGCAAAAATGAAGGGGCTACAGAAACATTCATATTTTTATGCTGTTCCCTCTTGGGCTTCACGCAAAGACAATTCTGTGTAAATGTACAGTTGTGCCCTATTTGGAAATCCTAAAAAAATCAGTCCATACTTGTTATAAAAAATTTTTTACAATTGTAATTATATTGATGTTCATATTGTGTAAAATAACTCGTTTAATAAAGTAGTACTTTGATTTTACAATATCACAGATTAAATCCTTGTAGAAGTTCTGTTTCAACTTCCTGCATTATCTGCCTTAGAAAAGAATAAAAAAGACAAAGTGGAATTTTCCCCATCCTGCAAAACACAAGCAGTATCATTCCACTGAAAGTAATGTACATTACAGAGAATTAATCTTAAGTGAAAAGGGAAGCTGCTCAGATTTACTGTTCACTGTGCTGCCTGCCCGAGCCAGTCGCTAGCGGATTCCCTGGAAGCTGCATGAGGCTCCCTTCTGCACTTCTCTCCTGTGTATTGGAGCCCCGCCCCGCAGGCCCATTCAGACGGGGGTCCCTGCGCCTCGAAGTCACACACGGGAGAGACCTGGTTATGCTGGTTGTCTTTTCTGTTTGGTAGATGGCTGAGGAAGCTGAGGGGTGGCAGGACTGAATGCTTCTGGGTGCGCTGGCTTGAAAAACGCTCGTGGATACTAGGTTAAAGCAACTCTGCTGTTAGCTGGGGGGGGGGGGAAATTTGGAAAGATTTTGAGTGATATTTTTAAGTGTTAACCACACGTGGCCCCCCTCAGACGTGTCTGGTTATTTCTGTAGCAAACTCTGCAAGAAATATGCAAAATAGCCAGCAGTTAATAACCTTTCTTCACGACCAGCTTAAAATAAGCCTGTTGGAAAAGAGCCAAAGTAACTAAAATAATATGGCTACTTTAAGAAATCGGATGTGATTAAAGTTGCATTGGCAGGAAAAAGCTGGATAATAAATAACTCTCTGGCCAAGAACATTTGAGCAGCTAAGCGTAATTACCCTTAAAGCATTCTGGGCTCAGTTTTAATCCCAGATGTACAGCGTGGAAGTAGTGGAGAAACATCTGAATTGTGCTAGAAGGTCTGCTATACAAAATCCTATCTCTGGCATTTGGAGGAGGCTTATTTAAGAGCTTTAGTTGTGACCTTGCATTAAGAAGCAATACTAGAATTGCTGTGATTTACTGAGGTTACAAGGGATGTGAAAATTCTGGCAGTCCAAGTAACTCTTGCTATGCAGCAGGACTGTACATCTGACCTTCAAATGGCTTCCTAAAATGTAGGACCATAGCCTCAAAGACTCATTCACTTAAAAGAATGCACTTGGTATTTTATTATATAAAGTCAGAGCCTTTGTCTTTGTCCACTCATTTGCTCTTTATTGAACTACTTCTGTGAGACTAGCTTCCTGTCCTCTTTGCTGTGACAGTATCTCTGTAAATACTTCCTTTGGCATAAAGTTTCTCTGTATTTTAGTCACTCCAGGATAACCTGTATATCACTTAACTTTTCTAGATACTGTTGTTCTCCTTTGAAAGTAATCCACTACTGCATTTGTACACATGACATCAGAATGTAACGCTTCTTTTTCTTTTTTTCTTTAATGTTATCAAATACATATATCCTGAAAAACTGGCTCCCATAAGGCAAGAAATCCACTCTCAACCTTTGTGCTGTATGGGGGGAGAGGTACTAGATGTTCTGATGTTACAGTTTGTCTAAAAATATACCAAGTGCAAATGGATAAGGATGTTTCTTGCACCGACTGGTATTTGGTAATCTGGTTTTACTTTGGAAAATGTTCTGGGATGTATCCCTGTAGCTTGGTCCTGAAGTGGAGTATGTGTTCAATTCCTTTAATTCAAATTGTGTAGCATTAAATAAAAAGATTTTGTTTCATAAACAATCTCTTTTAATGAGCACTGAAGATCTGAAAAACTGCATCGCTAGTGAGATGGTTAACTTCAGTTAGAACTGGATTTTCAAAACTTCATGATGCATGAGTTGCAAATACCCTCTGAAAGGATGGGGTTTTACGTATTAGAAGGCAAGCGTGGTCCTCTGTTCAGTAAGATCCCAAGCTGCAGTAGCTGCAGTCTCCACTACAGACATAAATGAAAGCTGTGACTGAACTGTTATAAAAGCTTTAT